TGGGTCGCGACCCCATTTGGGGTCGATCGACCTCTTTTCGGGGGTCGCCAAAGGCGGCGATCTGCCATTTTGTCCCCTCCGGGGGCGCGCCGCGCCTCCGGGGGGGCGGTGCCGCGCACACGCACCGCGCGTCGGGCGACAGCGCGCCTCCGGGGGGCGGTGCCGCGCAGGCGCGCCACGCATGGAGGAAACACACCCCCATGGCGCCTGGAGAATTGTTCAGAGATGGCTTACCAGCAGGTCCGAAGGGGCCAGCCGTCCTCAGCGAAACATCGCCTCACTCAAGAACCTTCCCGGCCAATGCACCAGAAAATGTTGTAGAAAATGAAAGACTTGAGTCAGCTCTTTCAAGGAAAGGGAAGTTTATTGCGCAGGTTCAGAGAGCCATCATGGCTAAAGAGTCTGAACACCCGACTGGGCGTAGATGATTATTTTTATAACCCGTAATACGTCAGTTATTTCCTGATCGAGATATATTCCATACATGGTTACATTCTATAGTTCCTTATTCTAACATAGGAAAGTTACTAGACATGGTTATAATCTATAGTTCCTCTTTTAACATAGGAATGCTTTTAGCAATATTTCAAGTGTTAAGCAGTTTTCAAGACACCATGTGATAAACAGTTTGCAATATATCATGTGCAAAGTTGAGAACAGGATGTCTGGCCATTCTAATTTAAGGGTTGTTTAGTAAGCAGGAAAACCTCCCTTTCACCCCCAATCTCTGTCGGACAATCGGTATTTTTCCAGCTTCCCACTTTATTCCCCCCTGATGAGACTTCTCTCATCTTTGCAGATAAATTTCATCCTGTAACACTTAGGTCTGATGTATGTATGTTGTTATATTCCTGTTTCTGGAATTCCCACATGGCCGTGACTTGAGCAGTTGCTTTTCTTTCTGCAAGCAGGGACACTCGTTTAGGTAGTGTTATGTTATGCATCATTGAAGAGGGACATTGCAGAAGACAACAGCTACTGATCAGAATAGCAATAAAGATGACCACTGCTCTTATAATGTTTCCAATAAGACCCATTGGAAGCCAGGACCATACGTTACTCCACCAATTTCCCAGGGAATCTATTTGCAGATCCAATGCCATTTTATGGAGCACTTTAATTTGCTTATTTATAACTGGGGATTGATCTGATAGATTAAAACAGCACATCCCCTCAAAGGCCTCACATCCCATGTGTTGGCAGAGTAGAAGATAGTCTATGGCTGCCCTATTTTGCAAAATTGCCTTACGTAATTCTATCATTTCCTGATTGATAGCAGACAAGGCTATTGAAGTGGCATTTATAGTTTTAGCCAAGTTGCAGGCCACAGAATTTATATTGACATGAGCCCTTAGAGCAAGTGCAGGAACTCCCACCACCGAGACAGCCAAAGCATTGTATTCAGCAGCGTTCAGAAGAGTAAAACTTCTGCCCTTTTGTAACGTGTGGTGTTAGGGGAGGTGAAAAGTGATCTATCTGGTAGAAAGGTAGTCAGTCTACTTAGACAGCAATACGATGTGCTTAGATTAGCAGGAATGTAATTAAAAGTGTCTTTTCCACAAGTGAAGAACCACCCTTTAGGTAACCATATGTTTGCATACCCAAAAGATACTGTTTGGAAGGATGTGCAATTTACCTTTTCTGGACTCACTTTCAAACAGTGTGGTAAAGGTGTAGTTTGTTCACATCCTGTGACATGTGCACATTGTAAGTCTTCTGGAATGGTTACATTAGGAGTATGTAAGGCTAAAGCATCAGTTGTAAAAACTTGGAAATGTATCCCCAGTTGTACATTGTTTCATAGCCTATGTGTTCTTTAAACCCATGTTGACTGAATTCCTTAGCTGCTGTGACTGGAACACACACTGGTATTAAACATGTGGACAGCAAATTTTCCATGTCATATGCTTCAGAAAGGCAAACATCGGTTGTGTTGGTTAGTTTAGTCAATTGGACCCACAAATTATATTGCATCCTTGACTCCAATGGATGGGGCATATCCTTATTCTGCTGGGACCTTTTATTTCGCTTTCTCTCTGGGCGCTTCCTCGGGGGTCTTTGGATAGTTATTCCAAATTCCACCGGGATAACATGTACGATGCAAGTCCCTTTCCATCCCGTCTTCAACTGCGAGACTAGGGTGACCCGCTCCCATCCCCAGACTAAAGGAGGCCCACACTCCAGAGTAACAGGAGGAAGAGGCTTCTTATATGGGGCCTTTACACATATGCCTTTCCTAAGAATATACCCAACATACTGACAGGCTTCGGGATTGACAGGTGGTCTTGTCATACAGGCTTCTTTAACTATTCTGTCAAATGCTTGAGGAAATTGACAAGGATGAGGCAAGATACCATTCCAACATTCTGGGGAAAATCCAATGGGGGGGTGACCTTCGCAAGTGCCAGTGCCTATAGCATATGATTGGATAATGCGGGGAGCTTCTTCTGGCTTGCTCCATTGGCCTAAATTAGAAAGACAAACATTATTACATGCAACAATAGCACTACATAAAAGCAGAAGGAAGCCTTTCATCCTTTCTTCTCCCGTGCGTAGAAAGCCAGCTTCCGGGTGTGGCTTAGCAGGGGGTTGAATTTCAGCCAGACAGCCGTAGATATCTGTGCAGGATACACTTGTGCTAATATAATATCTGGTATACAAACAATAAAATATTCATTAAACATACTAAACACGTTTAAGAGTGAGTTTGGTGGGGACCTTGGGATCCCTGTTTACTGTCCACAGAGGTTCTGCAGCCGCTTTCACTCTGGTCCAGTGAATCCAAGATTTAGCTTCTGCAATCTTTATAGCTAAAGGAGAGGCCATTATTACTTCATAAGGTCCTTTCCATCTGCCCTCCAGTTGTTTATGTTTCCAATGTTTTACCCACACCCTATCCCCTGGTTTAAAGGGATGACATCTTGTTACTAGTTTAGGAGGTGTTTGTTCAACAACATAGTCCCTAAGTTTTTCCACTTGCTTATTCAGTTCCCCCCATACTCCCCCCTGATGGCCCTTTACAATGCATAACTGAAACCTTTGCTGGCTTTTGTACTTGCCCGCAGAATCCCTAAATCCTCTCTCTTTGTACACAGCACCATGAGTATGTAAAGTCAGAAAAGCATATTTACTATCTGTTCAAACATTCAAAGTTTCCCCTTCAGCTCTTTCCAATGCCCTAATTAATGCCCATAATTCTGCTACTTGAGCACTGCCGCTTGCTCCTAGTGGACTATTTTCCACCACTTCCTCATCATTCACAATAGCATATCCAGAAACCCATCCTGCATGTAACTCGAGCCGTCTGTATGCCAATTCAGGGCAGCATCCTGAAGAGGAATATCAGATAAATCCGGACGGCTTGAGTATACAGTTTCCAAAACTTGCAAGCAGTTATGTTCTGAATCCACTTCTGTGGGCAATAGGGTGGCAGGATTTAACCGGTTAGACACCACTAATTTCACTTGAGGGTGTTCAATCATCATTGCCTGATACTTAAAAAGCCTTTGACTGCTGATCCACAGGTACCCTTTATTATCCAAGATAGAATGAACTGCATGAGGGGTGTGGACACTTATGGGACATGAGAAGGTCAATTTATTACAATCCTGTAAAAGGACTGCTATAGCAGCAAGAACCTTCAGACAATGTGGCCAGCCTTGGGCAACCCCATCTAATTGCTTAGATAAGTAAGCCACCGGGCGTTGCCACTGTCCTAATTGTTGTGTCAACACCCCCAAGGCAACATTCTTCCTGGTATCAACATACAAATTGAAAGGCTTTTCTAAGTTAGGCAAGGCTAAAGCTGGAGCTGATGTGAGGGCTTGTTTCACTTCCCTAAAGGCATTCTTTTGTTCTCCCTCCCATTCAAAAGGTTCTCTATCACCTCCCTTTGTAGCTGAATAAAGAGGTGCTGCTAATAGAGCAAAATTTGGTATCCATATCCTGCAAAACCCTGCCAAACCCAAAAAGCCCCCCAGTTGCTGCCTATTAAGGGGTTCAGCAATAGCTAGCACAGCTTGTTTCCTCTCCCAGCCTAAAGCTCTATGCCCTTCCTCAATCTCATATCCCAAATACTTCACCTCCCGTCCGACTAATTGTGCCTTCTTTTTGGAAACCCTATAGCCGCACTGCAACAGTAAATGTAAAAGAGATTCTGTGTTCTCCCAGCATGTCTCTTCAGTTCTGCCTGTCACCAGCACATCGTCTACATATTGCAGAAGTGTGTCAACCCCCTGTCGGGGCACAAAACGCTGTAAATCTTCTGCTAAGGCTGTGCCAAACAGGGTAGGTGAATTTTTAAAGCCCTGTGGCAGCCTGGTCCAGGTATACTGTGCTTTTTGCCCTGTATTTGGATTTTCCCACTCAAAAGCAAACAACGGCTGGCTAGCTTTATGAATAGGAATTGTGAAAAAAGCATCTTTCAAATCCACAACTGATCTGCCTGCTCCAGTATCCACCAAAAACGTTGTCTGTTTGCCCCCTATATTTAAAGTAACCAATGGCTCAGGGGGGCTTCCTCCAAGCCAGGTCCCCGTCAATCTGACCAGTTAGTCCCTGCCAATCCAATTCCTTCAATCTCCCTGTCTCTATTCCAATCTCTCACATTCCTCGAACCATCTCTTACAATCCCTGGAGCCCCTCTCTGCCCTCTACCCATGAAGGGGGAGTGCATGGGGGGCCCACTGCCAACATCTCCACGGCCTCTGCCTTCTCTTCCTCTCCAACCTCCACCTCGTATCTGTCTCTTTGGACATTCTCTTTGCCAATGACCTTCCTTCTTGCAATTAGCACACTGGTTGGGTCCCAGCATAATCCCTCCTTGCAATGCCACAGCCAACAACTCTCTCTTCTTGTGCATTCTAGCATCTCTTTCCTGCTTTTCCACCTTATCCCTATTAACAAACACCTTCCTAGCCACCTCCAACAATTCTGTAGTGTTCTTTCCTAATGCTCCCTCTAGCCTCTGCAACTTCTTTCTTATATCTTCATAACTCTGCGCTATGAATCTCTCATTCAACATTCGCACATTGTCTGCACTCCTTGGATCAACCTGTGTATAAAGCTCATAAGCCTCAATCAGCCTTTGCAAAAAAACTTTCCGGACTTTCATCTGCTTCCTGCATCACCAAAGAAGGCTTCGACATATTCACAGGAGGCTTTCCAGCCTTGCGAAGAGCCTCCACCACTAGATTCTGAGATTCCTTTAACAAAATCATATGTGCTGGATTTTGTGCGTTCCATTCAGGGTCCTTTTCTGGTGCCCTGGCTTCCATCTCTGGCTGTATATCCCGCACAGCTGGCAACCTATCCTTCAAGCACTGCCTAACAGCAGCCTTCCACTTCTCCCTTTTCCTCAGGAGTCAACAAAGTATCTAACAACTGTTGCACATCCTGCCACGTTCTCTTTACTTACTTCTCCCCTCACATTTACAGAGAGACCTTCCAAATCCCTTCCCTCCTTGGGGGCTGACAGCCTCCCCTTTGTTTCTGCCTCACAACTGGCTGCATGTCCCCAGGCACAGCAGAAGCAGTCAGCCCATCCCCAGACACAGCAGCTGCTGCAGCCGGCAAGGGGGCACCTTTATCTCTTTCTTTACATCTGATACCTTAGTTTCTAAAATCTGCACATCCCTAACTCTTTTAGTCTCAACCTGAAGCTTTTTTTTTTTTTTTAGATCTAGCCACACACAAACGAACCATTTCAGCCTGACATTGCAATAAGTCATCTGCCTGCCCTGCTACTGCAATTGCTTTCACTATTAGGAAATTTCTTCTCAGTTCTAGGTGGCTTTTCTCCTCGATCAGTTTCCATCTGTCGCTTCTTGTCCTGCCGTTCTTCTCCTATGTCTTAAGTCTCCAGGCCTTTGATCATTACATTGGCCTCTCTGAATTGGCAAGTCTGAGTTGCTTCGAGGCCCCGCCCTTTCCTGTCAGCGAAAGTGAAAGTGGGAATCAGAGAGGTCACACCCTCACCCTAGCCAGGCTGCAAGAAGACTCCTTGGGCAGCTTCCTAGCCCGAATCTGGCAACGGGGCTTGTCACAGCTTAGGCAGCAGCTGCAAACGAAGGGGAAGGTAAGGGGACTCAGATATTAGGAAATTTCTTCTCGGTTCTAGGTGGCTTCTCTCCTCGATTAGTTTCCATCTGTTGCTTCTTGTCCTGCCTTCTGCTGCTTTGGAGGATGGGTGGACCCCCCGCTCTTCTTTGGGGCAGCCCCTCAAATACTAGAATTCTGCTATCATGTCGCCCCTTTCTTTATGTTCTTTACGCTAGCCAAACCCAAGTCCTGCAGCCGTTCTTTTTGTAAGTCTCCAGGCCTTTGATCATTAAATTGACAAGTCTGAGTTGCTTCGAGGCCCCGCCCTTTCCTGTCAGCGAAAGTGAAAGTGAAAATCAGAGAGGTCACACCCAGACTGCAGGAAGACTCCTTGGGCAGCTTCCTAGCCCGAATCTGGCATCGGGGCTTGTCACAGCTTAGGCAGCAGCTGCAAAGGAAGGGGAAGGTAAGGGGACTCAAGATATTATGGGGCAGAGAGAGGGCCAGTAGGAGCGGGAAAGGGGGGAGAAGACCAGGCTTCTCTGGAATTGGGGTGGTGGTGGTGATGGTGTCGGAGGCCTGTGTGGTCAAGACCTCCCTGCCCACAGTGGGGTGGGGGCGTTGCGGCGCTCCTGTGGCCGGAAACATCGCTACACTGCCCAGCCCCAGAATTTTTTTTTTTTTATTAAAGAGTTTTATAAATTTTACAGAAAATAAAAGACAATACAAAAACAAAAAACAACATATACAAATAAAAAACAAACATTACCCAACAAAACCCCCCTTCCCCCACCCCTACCCAAACCCCCCCTTCCCCCCCCAGGGCCTCCCAGAGCAGAATATAGGCTTAATTAAAAAAAAGTTAAAAAAATTTATATTTATAAAAAAAAGAATATAAAATAGAATATATATATATATATATATAAAGTTAAAAATTATGAAAAAACTATATAGTATTTTTTTATATCAAATTTAAATTGTATGAATTTTATCCATTTATCCCAAACAGCAAGAAATTTCTCTTGCGTTTGACCCTTTAAGAAAGCCGAAATCTTTGCCATTTCCGCCAAATGAGACACTTTAAGAAACCATTCCTGCAATGTAGGCAAAGATTCCTTCTTCCAATATTGTCCTACTAACAGCCTCGCAGCTGTAATCAAATTTAACATCAATATAACCTCCTTTGTATCACAATCAATAACTATACCTAACAAAAATAATTGTGGAGTAAATTTTACCCTCCTTTTAAAAATTCTCTGGATATTCCACCATATCTTAATCCAGAATGCTTTTATCTCTCTGCACGACCACCAAATATGATAATAAGTAGCGTCCATACAACCACATCTCCAACATTTAGGTTGTAAGTCAGGGTACATAAAAGACATTTTTTGTGGATCAAGGTGCCATCTATAAAACATTTTATAAAAATTCTCCCTTAAGTTCTGTGCTTGTGTAAATTTGACATTTCTCACCCAAATAGTTTCCCAGGTGTCCAATGGAACTGGCTCACCAAAATTCTGCGCCCATCTAATCATACAATCTTTAATTAGTTCCGTTTCTGAATCCAATTCAACTAAAACCCCATAAATCCTCTTAATGTGGGTTTGTCTTTGATCCTTCACTTGCTTAATAAGATTTTCATCTTCTCTGAGAAAACCCACCTTACAGTCCATCTTCCATCTGTCTAATAATTGCCTATATTGGAACCAAGAATAAATAATATTTTCTTGTGCTAACTCTTCCCGTGATTTTAACTGCCAGTTTTGTCCATCCCATTTAAGTAACTGTCTATAGGACACCATATCCATTTTAACCCCTCTTTTTATTCCTTCTATTGCATGCCAAGGTATAGCCCATAATGGTACTTTGAAATCACTTTTATAATATTTTCTCCAAACCCTAAGTAAAGAAGTTCTTAAGATATGAGATTTAAAAGCCCAATCCATTTTTTTATTAAATATTAAATAGGCATGCCACCCAAAAAGTAGATTCCATCCCTCTAAGTGAAGTATATCAGAATTTGTCAAATTTACCCAGTCACTAACTAATGTTAAAACCACCGCATCATAATATAATTTCAAATTCGGCACCTTGAGTCCTCCCCTCTCACGGAAATCTTGCATAATTTTAAATTTAACCCTTGGCTTTTTCCCTGCCCAAATAAATTTATTAAGGCCTTTCTGCCACTCAGTTAAATTGATCTCATTCTTCAAAATCGGTATCATTTGGAACAAAAAGAGAAACTTGGGTAGAATATTCATTTTTATCACTGCAATTCTTCCCATGAGGGATAATTGCAACTTTTCCCAATTCTTCAAGTCTCTCTGTACCCTAACCCACAACCTTTCATAATTATTTTTAAATAATTTTGCACTAGAAACAGATAGCATCACCCCCAAATATTTTACCTTATTAACAATTTCAAAACCCGTCAAATTAACCAAAGTCTGCTTCTCCCGACTAGTCATATTTTTAGGTAAAATTTTAGTCTTATTAACATTAATCTTAAAACCCGAAACCAAACCATAATTATGAATCAACTGTAATAATTTTACTACAGAATAAGTAGGTTGCGACAAAGTGATAACCAAGTCATCCGCAAAAGCTCTTAACTTATACTCTTTTTTATTAACTTCTATCCTTTAATTTCCTGCGACTCTCGAATTTTGATCAACAGTATTTCCAGTGTTAAGACAAACAGCAACGGTGATAATGGGCAACCCTGTCTAGTACCTTTCTCTATTGTAAAAACCTCTGACAAGCCTCCATTAACGATAAGTTGTGCCGTTTGTTTTTGATATATTACCATAAGAGCTTGCAATATCTTTTCACCAAAATTCATCTCTTCCATTACTCTTAACATAAAATGCCAATTCAATTGATCAAAGGCTTTTTCAGCATCTAAAAATATCAGCCCTGCAGGAACTTGGTTGTTTTTATCTAAATATTCTAATAAATTAATAATTTGTCTGACATTATTTTTCATGTACCTTCCAGTTATGAACCCAGATTGATCTTTATGCACAAGGTAGTGCACAACCCTCATAAGCCTATTTACTAAGATTTTTACAAATATCTTATAATCCACATTTAAAAGAGATATAGGCCTATAATTCTTTGGTAAAGTAAGATCTTGATCTTCCTTTGGAATCAATGATATAAAAGCAGTACGCCATGAGGGAGGAATCTCTTGACCCTGTAAAATGCCATTAAAAAGATCACCTAATGGTTGAATCATCTCCTCCAATAAGACTTTATAATAAACAGCTGTTAACCCATCCGTACCCGGTGCTTTCCCTGGTTTCAATTGTTGAATTGCTAGCGAAATTTCCTCCTTAGTAATTAAACCATTAACTTCATGTTTCTGATCCTCTGTCAATTTAGGGAAACTAACCTCGCTTAGATATTTATTTATCTCTAAAATTTGCACATTAGTAGATTTATATAATTTTTGATAATAATCCAAAAAAGATTTCTTAATCAGTTCCTTCTGAGAAACTAATTTACCCTTGTAATTTATTTTATCTATTGTTCTCTGTCTCTGTTTCTTTCTCAATTGATAAGCCAGCCATCTCCCTGGCTTGTTAGCATTACAGAATGTATTTTGTTTCATAAACAATAAATTGGTTGCAGCTTGATCTGCTAACAACATATTAAATTGTGTTCTTAACAACTTTAAGGATTCTTTAATACTTTCATCAGAAGGATTTAAAATCAAAGACTTTTCTTTTAATTTAATTTCATCTTCCAATTCTTTACGTTTCTGAATCTGTTTTTGCTTATGACAATTATTCATTTTTATCAAAATCCCACGCGTAAATGCTTTCCCTGCATCCCATACCATTGACATTGAAGTCCCCTTATACATATAGAACTAAGGAGAAACTTCCTGACAGTGAGAACAATTAATCAGTGGAACAGCTTGCCTCCAGAAGCAGTAAATGCTCCAACACTGGAAGTTTTTAAGAAGAGACTGGACAGCCCTTTGTCCGAAATAGCGTAGGGTTTCCTGCCCGAGCAGGGGGTTGGACTAGATGACCTCCAAGGTCCCTTCCAACTTTACTACTATTACTATATTCAAAGCAAAATAATCCTTTAAACACTCCTTTAATTTCTGAACATTTTTTTCTTGTCTAAATAAATTCTCATTCACCCTCCAGGATCTTCTCTCCTCTTTTTCTTGAGTCAACTCCATCCAAACTGGACTATGATCCGTCAAAGACCTAGGGAAATTCTTGACATTCTTTACTCTATTATATAAGTCCGTTGTAATCAAGAAGAAGTCAATTCTTGAGAAGGATTGGTGTCTATCTGAAAAGAAGGTAAAGTCTTTCTCCTCTTGATTACATTCCTGCCAATAGTCCCGTAATTCCCAGTCCTCTTTCATATCAAAAAAGGCTTTAGGTAATTTTGCCTGCTTTAGAAGAGGAGAGGAACCTTTTTTGTCCCTTTGTACATCTAAGACACTGTTCCAATCCCCCATTAGTACCACGGATCTGTAGTCCAGAAGATTTATTTTTTCATGTAAGAGTCTATAAAATTGTTCCTGTTGCTGATTTGGTGCATATAGTCCCACTATAAGTACTTTCTTACCATATAAGCCCAATTCAACCATCACATATCTCCCTTGGGGGTCAGACTCCACCAGACAAACTGGTAGATTGTGCTTAACATAGATAACAACTCCCCCCTTCTTCCCGGGAGCAGAAGATACGAAGTGAGATCCCAGACGGGCATTAACTAAATATTTCTGATCCTTAAGTAAAATATGAGTTTCCTGTAAGCAAATAACATCATTATTACGTTGCTTCAAATAATAAAAGATTTTTTTTCCTTTTCTGAGGAGAATTCAATCCATTAACATTCCAGGTCAAAAACTTTGCCATCTCCCTTGGCCCGCAGCCTGGAGAAGACACCTTGGAGATCTGAAATTGCAACATGTGTTGCATGACTCTTGGGTCTTGCTCCTCCCACCGGCGGTGATACATTTCCAGGAGAAATCTCTTTGGCCTCTTTCTTACGTTGCTCCTTCTCTTTACGTTTATAAGCTGCACGAGTCATTCTCTGCTCTTTAACCTCCGTCTGGCGTTGCCATTCAGCTTGCAGCATCCCAGCAGAAACCAAACCTAATGCCTCAGACTGCTGCTCCGCCCCTTTGCCACTCAGGGATTTCTGAACAGGTAAAATTGAGCCTGCACCTAGGACTGAAGTATAGAATTCTCTAGCTTTATCAACCGTATTCAATCTATAACGTGTCCCCACATGGCTCAGAACAATACCCATCGGGATTTCCCATCTAAATGGCATCGATCTAGCTTTAAGCTCATTAGCTAAGAAAGCAAAATCTTTCCTGCTTCTTAAAATTTTTGATGGGATTTCCTTTAGTATGATGACATCTTGGGCAGCTATCTGAAATCTTTTATTATAAAAGGCTTGTATGATCTCATTACGCAGAGACTTCTTCGTAAAATAAATCACCACATCTCTAGGCAAATTCTTCTGCTTAGCAATCCAGGAGTTAAGCCTGTACACTTTTTCAACTTCTCTGCGTAATTCTCCTTTATCCATATCCAAAACCACAGCCAAATCAGTAAGGACCACCTCCATCAGATCTTGATTCATATCTTCCTTGAGGCCTCTAATCCTCAAGGCATATTCCATCTGCCTATACTGAAACATCAGAATATCTTCTTGTGAAGTCTCCACCTTCCTTTCCACATCTTGAATTTTATCATCAAAGGAATCAACTTTATCTTCAACTTCCTCGAGTCTTGCATCCAGCTTAACCACCACTGTAGCCAAACCTGAGACTGCTGCAAGTATATCTTGTCGCAAAATATTATTGTTATTTTCCAATTGATCCTTTATCCCACTTATCTCTTCTTTGAAGTCAGATTTAATTTCTGATTTAAGCTGTGTAGAAAATTGCTTCATTTCCTCTCTCATTTGAGCTACAGCCTCTCCCATTATACCTCTAACCTCTTGTGCTGAAAGTCCAGGCAAAGGAGGGGAGGGTGGTGGCTGTGCCGGTGGTGCGTGTTTAAGTTGTTGTTGTGGTTGTGCAGTAGAAGTTATAGGGGAGGAAATCACCTTGGATGTTGTAGAAGGCGGCTGTCTCTTTGAAGCCATTTTAAATGACACAGTTCTCACTTCCCTTTCCCCCCCAAAAAAAAAGAGATGAGGGGGAAAGAGAGAAATTTTTACTTTTAAAAGAGGCAGCAAAAACACTATAATCCTTGAAAATCCAGAGAAAAAAGACCAAGAAGAAAAAATCAAAAAAGAGGATTCAATACCAAAAGCAAAAGTAAAGTCCAGTCCTTAAAAGGAGAAAGTGAAACAAAAGACAAGGGAAAAAAAACTCCGTCACTTTCAAAACGCCATCTTAATTCCTTCTCCACAGTAATAAAAAAAAGAGAAATAATCAGAACTAAATAAAAAAAATAAACACCTAAATTATATAAGAAAAAATCCTTTAAACTGCTCTGTCCGTTTTTTAGGAATTACTTACCAACTCTCTATAAGCACGGAGATAGAAGCGGCAGTTTCTTTTGCTTCCTAGGAAGCAAAAACAGCTGGGAGGTGGAGACAGCAAGAGCTCCGAGGGAACACTCCTTTCACCCCCTCTAGAATTAAATCCAGAGAGGGTTCAGGGGTTCTACCTCTACTCTTGTACTCTCTGTCCCTTCCCTTTGCCCGGGAAGGGAATTCCGAGCCGCGGGCCAGCTGATGCGCGCTGCGCTCCGTGGCTCTGACACTTTCCCAGCTGGACGGCTAGAGGATAGCCGCCATCGCTGTCGCTCCGTACCGGAAGCCCCCCCAGACTTTTGATCCTGCCACAAGCACAGCAGAGGAAAGCAGACTCTGCTCCTCTTCCTGCTGTAAACAGATTCATTCGGTTACGCAAATTTCTCTTTCCTTCTTTGCAACTCAGTTAGCTAGAACAGGCACAGGTTTGACGTGCCTGAGCTAGAAAGATGTGTGCCCTCAGTTAAGAATAGAACAGAACAGAACAGAATAACAGAGTTGGAAGGGACCTTGGAGGTCTTCTAGTCCAACCCCCTGCTCAGGCAGGAAACCCTATACCATTTCAGACAAATGGCTGTCCAGTCTCTTCTTAAAAACTTCCAGTGTTGGAGCATTCACCGCTTCTGGAGGCAGGTGGTTCACTGCTTAATTGTTCTCACTGTCTGGAAATTTCTCCTTAATTCTAGGTTGCTTTTCTCCTTGATTAGTTTTGATGGGTCATATACAGGTAATCCTCTAGTTACGCCACAGCTGAGCCCCAAATTTCTCTTGTGAAGTGAGGCATACGTTAAGTGAGCTTTGCCCCATTTGATGATCTTTCTCACCTCAGTTTTTAAGTGAATCATTGCCGTTGATAAGTTAGTCCCTCGGCCGTTAAGTGGATCCGGCTTCCCCAGTTGATTTTGCTTGTCGGAAAGTCGCGAAAAGGGATCGGGTGACCTTGGGATCCAGCGACGGTCAGAAATAGGAGTCCGTTGCCAAGCGTCTGAATTTTGATCACGGGACCCTGGGGACACTGCAACGGTCATTCAGTGTGAAAAATGTTCCTAAATCCCTTGTCCCGGTGCTGTTCTAACTTCATACTGCACTGTTATAAGTCGGGGACTATCTCTGCTCCCTCTTTTGTGCTGACTAAGTGGGCTGAACTCCCTCGCCGTGTGTGGCATGATGTCTCCCCTTTGCAACACGGAAAAAACTAACCCGGCCGTTTGATGGGGCCAATCCGTGCCTTGGCCATCGCTTCCTGTTTGAGGTGTGTCCATTCAGGGTTCATTTTCCCTGGAAAGAACCAATTGGTGTTCCTGTCTGGTCCGTTTATTGTTAGGAAGAAAGGCCGTTCCCACCTCAAAACTGTCCCTGCCCCACTGCTCCGGACAGAGGGGTCCTTACTCCCCCGATGCAGGATGGGCACCTCTGCCCACGAAGGCACTCAACCACCTTCAGAGGAGTGGAGCGTGATCTTTGCCCACTGCCTGGACCCTGGAGGAGTCCCGGATCTGCCTGCTTGTCCCATAGCTGTTGCGACAGCCACATAGGTGGTCTGCAGACTTTGAGGGTCTGTGAGGGTGAATATCACGGCCCCATCAGAGGCCAGGTCTGAGGAGGAGGAGATGGAGCCAGGGCCAGTGCAGGGGGATGGTGCAATCTTTATGACTCAGGAGAAACGACTTGAGGACGAGGCAGGCGCAGGTCCCTCAACCCTCGGAAGAGTAGGCAGGGGGGAAGAGAGGGCGCAGGCTGATCGAGGAAGGCAGAGTCAACCCACGGCACCCTGGCTATTCGGGAGGAGGGTTCCCAGCTCCTCCTCACAAGGTTCACCTGGAGAGTAATGTTTAAGGAGGCGCAGTGAAGAGGGACTTTTGCCAGGAACAAGTGTTTGTCTTCAGATCACAGTCCTTTTCGCCTTGCTTTAAGAACTGCTTTCACTCTGTGTGTCAACGACGGCTTTTGCCTTGCTGTGAGGGCTGTTCTTGGCTTGCCCTGGCCCTGACGATTCTCCCTTCAGACCTGCTTTGCCTTGGGCCCCGTCTTGCTTTGAGAAGGGCTCTTTGCCTTTTGGGTTGAACTGGGCCCTTGTGGTGTGAATTGCCTTTGCCTTTTGTTTCACTGTGCCCCTTTTGGAAGTTGCTCCTTGTCTTGCACCTTTGCCGTGCTCTGAGGACTGCCCTTGCCGTATGCCTGGAACTCTGCCTTCGGGCCTTGCTGGATAATCTATAGCAGTGGTTCTCAACCTTCCTAATGCCGCGACCCTTTAATACAGTTCCTCATGTTGTGGTAAACCCCAAGCCTAAGGGCTCTCCAAGGACGCAATGATGCTGCCTGCTCACCCACCGCGCTCGGGGCTCAGCGCTCCTCGTCTGTCCTCGCCCCACTTCCGAAGGTCGCCGACCTGCCCAGCTCCAGCTGACCAGGGAGGGGGGGCAGGAAAGCCGCTCCGCCGGCTCCACCCAGCCTGGTTGGAGAAGCGCCCAGGCAGGGAGACAGAGAGAGAAGCCAAGAGGGCAACAGCACCGGCAGAGCTTAGTTCAGCCTCCTCCGCGGACAGGGCTGCGAAGCAACGCAGCCTCCCTTAGGAGATGCTCAACGTAAACGAATCCGGCGCTGCAACGGCCCCCAGCTCGAAGCTGTGCGGAGACGGATAGAGGAGCAGTGTCTCGCTTTCTAAGACCATCGGAAATATGTCTTTTCTGATGGTCTTAGGCGACCCCTGTGAAAGGGTCGTTTGACCCCCCAAGGGGTCGCGACTCCTCGGGTTGAGAACCGCTGATCTATTGGCTGTTGGTTGGGGGACTGTCTAGTCAGTGGAGGGCCATTTGTTTAACCTTCCCAACAGACATAAAGAACTCTCTGGAGGGCTGCCTGGTGTTGCCCACCTGGGTCCTAACAGTGAAGGTATCCCCTTCCCCAAACTCTTTACATGGGTGGATTTGGGGAGCAGGTAAGTGGCACTTGCTGGTTAGTATGTGGGGTGTAGGCTGTGCGGACTTCTCCAGTGGCCCTTCTGCTGCCCAAAGCATCTGGAGGTCTGTGAGAGACACACCCCTTCCCCAAACTCTTTATCGGTGTGGCCTGGAGTGCACCCAATGGCGCTTTTTTGGAACAGCTTCCTAAGAATTGTTGGAGAGGGGGACATTCCTGGTTCAGGGAGGGACATGCACTGTCTCCTCCCCTCTTGGTTAGTCTCTGCCTCCTCCAAGTGGTTCTTTTCTCTTGCAGGAGCAACACGCAGGAGCTGAGCCTGGCCATGGCTGAAAACATTGTGGAGACCCCAGCCCTGGGCCGCCCCTTCCAGCTGGGGATGCTGTACGACTGCCGCACGGATGTGCTCATCCCAGGTAGGAGCTGGAGGAGAGGCCGAAGGGTAGGCAGCCCCTGCAGGATCTCTAGAGGGGGGGAGAAGGGCAACGCCATCGATTCTCCAGCACAGCACAGGGTCACTTCAGGCCTCGGCTCCTGGATCTACAGCCTGCTGATAACGGCTATCTGGGTAGGACCTGCCTGGAATGCGTATCCAACCCTTTGGACAGGCACACAGCAACTTTCCTCGGCTCAAAAGAAACTCTCTGAAATGCTTTGGAAATTGATTACAAAAGGAGTTGAGGTCCTACCCGGGATAGTGAAGTGAGGGATATTAATTTTAAAGTTGTGGTGCTGGTGCTTTTCTGGGGGGGGGGGGGAGGTCTGAACACAGAAGGCCCCTCTGAACCCCTGATGAAAAACATGATTTCTCCAGGGAGTTGGAAATCTTTCTTGAAATCAACAGGTATATAGAAGTTCCCATTCCTCTCTACTCAGTCAAAAGCTTTTTGAGTTTCTGGTAGTTTGCAAAACTGCTGGGTGATGACCAGGCAGAACAAATGAGGTCACCATCCAGGAAAAATGATATCTCTATTGTCTCAGCATTCTGGGGCTTCTCTAGGCGTTTCTAAGGTCTCATTTCACGTTTATCTTCCTGTTGTCTCTTGTTCCGTGCAGGCGTCACCCTTTGGGACTACAGCTCTCTGCAGAAGGACCTGACCATCAAGCCTCAGCCCAAGACGGAATCGGAAATCATTGCGTCCGACAGCATTGATGACAAGGCCTCCGCCCTGGACATTTCAGGATCCCTCAAGGCCAGTGTCCTGGCAGGGCTGGTTGAAGTGGGAGGGTCAGCTAAGTATCTTCATGATACCAAGAAGTCCAAGCAACAGGCCAGAATCACCGTTCAGTACAAAACCACCACCAGGTATGAGCAGCTGACAATGAGCCATCTCGGAATCCAGAACGTTTCCCATCCAGGAGTCTTTGAGCATGGGACAGCCACTCATGTGGTCACCGCCATCCTCTATGGAGCCCAGGCTTTCTTCGTCTTTGACCAAGAGGTTTCTTCAACAGAGATGATAAAAAATATAGAAGGAAGTCTCCGGGTTACAGTCACGAAGGAAATATCTATCGGAGGAGGAGCAGAGGTCAAATACAATGATGAGGACAAAGAGAATGCTCTGAAGTTCAGGTGCAAGTTCCATGGAGATTTTTCTCTGGAGAAAAATCCAGTCACTTTCCAAGATGCCATGAAAGTTTACGAAACTCTACCGAAAATGTTAGGGAAAGATGGGGAGAAGGCTGTTCCTGTGCGGGTCTGGCTCTACCCGCTGACCAAGCTCGACACCAAAGCAGCTAAGATGGTCCGTGAGATCAGCCTAGAATTGGTCTTTGATGCTGAGAAAATCTTGGAGGAACTCAACGAAATCCAGATGCAAAGCAATGATCTAGCCAACGATCCCATTGCCGAGACCTTCCCTGAGATCAAAGAGAAGATCCAGCAGTTCAAGGATCTGTGCAAGCAATATAGGCAAACTTTCCAGAAACAGCTGGCCAGAGTGTTACCTTCCATCCGGGGAGGAGGGCAGGAGGAAGGGACCCTGGTGGACATCTTGACGTCCATCAACCGGTCACCCTTCAATAGCCAAAGACTCCGTGAATTTCTAGACACCAAGAAAAGAGAAATTAACTTTGTCAAATCTTTTCTGACTATTTTAAATAAGATACAAATTATCTCATCTCAGAACAAGTTGGAAGAAATAGTTCTCGACCCTCAGAATGGATACGTGGTCTCCTTTATATTCACTTCTTTACACGAAGAGGAGCCGTTTCTCTTGAGCTTATGGGACAAGCTTCAGGAGCGATTCTTGCAAGAATCAGCTAAGTCCACCAGATCCACTCCTGGGGTGAAGAAAGGCAAGGCCTGGTTTGAGGACCAGGAGAAGACCCACAATGCTCGCCAAGCGGCCAAATCCATGAAAGACTTTTTCACTGTCAACCAATCGAATGAGAAGGTCCGCTTTGTCGTGGCCTCACTCCCAGATGTGGAGACCCCAGGAGCCTCCATTTACCTTTATGAAGACAGAAGCCTGGTCAGCAAGAATTTGAGTTGCCCTCAAAACCTCTCCCTTTGCAGATTACTGAACGGAGACATAACAGCATTCAGCTGAAGTTTCAGCCAGCTGAATATGGAAAGGCTGCCATCTCCAGCTATCTGGTAGAGTACAAGATTGCAGGGGAAGAAAAGTGGAAGACCGTGAGGACAGAGGACGCCCGGGAGATGTTCCTTTTGAAAAATCTGCCATCAAACACAGAGTACCAGTTCCAGTATGCTGCTTGTTGCAAGCTTGGATTTAGTAAATCCAGTGACCTGAGCCCACCCATAAAGACCTTTCCCACCAGCCCTCCTGAGAAATTAAGAACGGTCACTGCAGCATCTTCTGTCATCTCTGTGGCCTGGATGAATCCCAGCATCATTGCCTCAGGAGTTGTGGTCAAGGAGTACAAAGTGGAGTACAGAATGGTAGAGGCTGGAGTTGGGAAGGACCAGTGGACTGGAAAAAGGACTGGGAGAAAAATAGAGTTTTACCCCATCGAAGGTCTGAAGCCCCAGACGGCATATAGAATACGGGTGTCAGCCGTGTGTGACAATGGAGCTCTGGGTGTCCCCAGTGAGGAGGTGGAAGTCTCCACATCACTGGAGGAAGAAGATGCAGGCAACGTCGCCCGCCAGTTCCTTCAGGGAAGCTCCCCGATGGAGGACACACATCCGTTAGTGTTCGCTCTTCCTCTGGAGAAAGTCCCCTCAGATGCCTCCACCTCCTGTCTCATATACCAGCTTGGAAAGGAGAACCCAAAAGTGCCCAACAAAGTGATCCTGATGATGGGAGCAACATGGTCTGGGAAAACCACACTGATCAACGGGATGATCAATTATATCCTGGGCGTCCAGTGGGGAGATAATTTCAGATTCAAACTGATTCACGAAACCACCCCGAGAAGCGAAGCTGGAAGCAGGACGTCTGAAGTCACTGTCTATGTGGTGCACCATCAGGAGGGTTTCCGGATTCCCTATTCTCTCACAATCATTGACACTCCAGGATTTGGAGGCAGAAGAGACGCAGAGCAAGACAAACTGGTTGAGGAGCAGCTCCGAGAATTTTTCTCCGCCCCAGGGGGCATTGACCACGTTAATGCCACTTGCTTGGTGGCCCAGGCCTTCCTTGCCCATTCAGTTCATGCCCAGAAATGCGTCTTTGATTCCATGCTCTCCCTGTTGGGAAAAGACGTGAAGGATAACGTCCAGCTCCTGATCACCTTTGCTGATGGGGGAACCCCACCTGTCCTGGAGGCCCTCAAGGAGGCTGACCTGCCTTGTGATCAGGACAAGTCGGGAACCCCTCTGCACTTCAGATTCAACCATTCAACCCTTTTTAGTCATGGAAAAAGTGGAGGAAGCCATCGTGCTGTTGCTGAAATATAGTGGAAAATGAGCGCCGAGAGCATGAAGAATTTCTTTGACTCGCTAATGTTGCTGGAAGCCAAAAGGTTAACCTTGACTATGGAAGTCCTCAAGAAACGTCAGGAGCTGGAAGCTGCTCTTAGAAGACCTCCCCCTCCCAAGATTGAGCAAGTGCACCCAAATAGTTTCCAGATCGGTATTGATCCAGTCGCCATTGGGAAGCATTCAGTCTCTAGGTACCAGGTGGAATATCGGATTGCAGGGCAGAATTGGAAGAGTCTCCATACTGAAGGCCCTAAAGATCAATTCACTTTGCAAGATGTGCACCTAAATCTTCAGTACCAATTCCGATGTGCAGCTGTGACTGAATTTGGGCTCGGTCAATGGAGCAAGGAGATCACTTGCATCTATCCTAGGGGGAGGCCTGCAGAGGTAACTTGACACCTTCTTTGGAGGAAGAGCGGGGGAGGAGGAGAACAAGGAGGCAGTAGAATAGGCTGATACCAGTTTTGGGTGCTCCATCACTGGAGATTTTGAAGATTTTTCGCATTTGCAGCAAAGAAACTCCAGGGAAATTCTTTTACCAAGAGTTTAAGTTTCCTGATAGATCCATATAGGCCAGTGGTTCTCAACCTGTAGGTCGGGACCCCATTTGGGGTCGAACGACCATTTCACAGGGGTCGCCAAACAATACAGTCCGCCATTTCCCCCCCTTTTCCTTAGCTATGCTACTCCCTTTTATTCTATTGGCTTTTGAAAGCCAATAGAATAGACTCTCTTGAATAGAGTCTAATTCTATTGGCTTTCCAAAGCCAATAGGAATTGTCCAGGCTGTCTCTGCCCTGCTGAGCCCGCCAAAATTCCCATTCTGCAAACGGTGCTGCACCAGTTGAGTAATCCTCAACTTACGACCGGTTGAGTAGTCCTCGACCTACAGCCGGTTGGGGGTCGCGGCATTAAAAAGGTTGAGAACCACTGATATAGGCACAGTAGAAGCAAAGCTAGTTTTCAGGTTTTGCCATTAAAAACAGCACAGCAATAATCCCCCCTTTCCTCCCCGGGCCACCCATTGTCCGTTGTCCACCAATCCAGTTCAATCATTGTTTTGGGAAACACCTTGAGGTGCTGGAAACTTTCTCAGGCCACAACCCGTGCACCTACATTCCTCATTCCCCTCCCAGCCACCCATCAATTCCAATCATCCCCTTCTGCCCTCCCTAGTTTTTGTTGTCTGGTGGTAAGGTTTGCAAAGCGGATCAGCCATGACGCACGAGGCCACGGGAGCCGAGTAGGAGAGACTAGTCTCTGACCTGATGGAGACAGTGCCGGTGGCCGAGGGCCGTTTTGCAGAATGGAGGGAGCGACTACAAGCGTGAGGTCCATCCTGTGGGATGTCACAGACAGGGCTGAGTGGGAAGACCACTCGGGGAACCTGCTGGAGGGGGGGGGAGATCTGATCCAAGTCAGGTCCTTTTTTAATCCCCCTCCATTTCTTGCTTGACTTCTGGGTGAGGTGAGTTCTTAGCAACCTGAGCAATGCAGCCTCTCCTTTGGCTGATTCTGTTTTGCTTTTCACGCAGAAATCTCAGGTTATCTGCTGTGCGGCTGGTGTGCGTATGACTGTAAGCATCCAAGGTAAAGTCTTGGGTCCTGGGGTTCAGGTGGGGTGGAAGCTACTGTTCTGGGTGGGGGGGAACAAGCTATGACGGTCGTACACTGCTGACCAGTCCCCTTCTTCTCTCTTCTCCCCTTTGGGTTGTAGGGTCTGAACAGAGGATCGTCCTTGTGGGCAAAAGCGCAAATGGGAAAAGTGCAACGGGAAACACAATTCTGGGAAGCAACGTCTTTAAAAGTTCCATGTCACCTAGATCAGTAACAACAGCATGTCAAAAGGAGGACACACAGCTAAACAGCAGGAAGGTTGTGGTTGTTGATACGCCTGGCTTTTTCGATCCCAGTCTTCCACCCAACTACGTTGTTGCAGAAGTGAGGAAGTGCGTGAAGTTTTGCTCCCCGGGTCCCCACGTCATTCTGCATGTGATGCGTCCTAGTCGCTTCACTCAGGAGGAGGAGCAGGTGCCTCAGCTGATCAAAGAGATTTTTGGCCTTAAAGCCAAAAATTACATCATCCTTTTGTTCACACGCAAAGAGGATCTGGAAGGTACCTCTATCGAAAATTTCATAGCTGTATGTGATAAAAAACTGCAGCAATATGCTGCTGAATGTGGGAACCGGTTCCTGGCTTTCAACAACAAGGCCGAAGGGGCGGAACGAGAGGCTCAGGTGGCCGAACTGATGACCATGATTGATCGTCTGGTAGAAACGAACAAAGATGCTCCTTATTACACGGAAGAGATGATGAGCTTCAACGAAAGACACAACTGGTTTTTCCCCCTTTCCAACAGAGGCCAGAAAGTCTCTTTAACTGAGCCTCGACTCCCAAGGTAGCAACTCTACCACAGCCCTTCCGTTCTGTGTTCTAATCCAGCCCTTGCCATGTGACCTCTGAAGAACCCAAGCCAGAGATTCGTGGCTGAGTTCCACTCAGCCGATTCCTTCTCTTGAGAATCCACTTCCTCCCCTTGGATGACAGGACTTTCTTCAAGGGCATGAGAAGATCCTGCCCACCCGTCCCAGGATCAGTAGGTCCCACAGCCGAATTCTCTCCCATCCTGGACCTGTGTCCCTTAGGGAGGACCAGGTCTTTGGGGCTTCCCACCTGTCTGTCCTTCGAGGTAGACCAGGTCGGGAAGCCAACAACACAAGAAATGTTAGAGCTCAACTTTACAGGGAGAGATTATAGCAGGAGAATCTGGAGAGCATCTCCCCTTTGCTCCTTCTGGCACCAAAGAGCATCAAGCCAGGGCAGCCTTGAGCTTCTTTCTCACCCCTTCCCGTTATCCTGGAGCGGATTCGTTTTTTCCTGACAGCTGCCACATATTTTCTGCAAGGCTGAGTCTGTACTCCTGTACATCAGGGGTCTCCAAATCATGGGCTGTGGACTGATACCGATCTATGGCCCACCAGGAACTGGGCTGCGCAAGTGGCCAAAGTCCCATTCCTGCATGGGTGGGATCCAGACAGCATGTGAAACCAGGGCCCCCTGCTCCATGGAAAAACCGCCTTCCACGGAACTGGTCCCTGGTGCCCAAAAGGTTGGGGGGCGCTGCTCTACACCACCTTCCAGAGGCAACACCTGGACTCACTAGGACGGTCATGACTGTTTCAATCAGAGACCTTCTTATTAAATCTCTTTCCTTACAAAAGTTTGTTTGTGTGTGTGTGTGTGTGTGTGTGTGTGTCAGGGGGACTAATGAACCTCAGCCTAACCAGCTCTGTCTGCAATGTGATCCAAAGGCAGAGGAGAACGGGGATGTTGTCCAATCGTCCTGGAGAAAGGGGGACATGGAATTCGTGTCAGATTATACTCGAGGGATGGAGCAGAATGCAGGGTATCCCCCGTAGCTTTTCACACTGGCTCCAGGAAGGGGGTCTGAGGAAATCAGGCTCCTGCTGGGTCCTTCCCATCTCTTAGTGTCCGTCAGCTCCACTCCAGATGCTTCTCTTCGCCGACTTGCTTCTGGTCTCCTGGTCAAGCAAGAGGAAGAAGGACACATGCCCAGCAGCCAAATTTGCAGCAGGACGTTCGGATTTGTCAACCACTTCTCCAAAGCCCCTGAAGGACGGACAAGAAGCAACGGATGGAAACTAACCAAAAAGAGAAGCAACCTGGAACTAAGGA